TCTACCATCAGTCAGTAGAAACTACTGATCTGTCCCCAACGCGGCGAGAAAAGCAGTAGAAATGATAAAGTTCGATCCGTACCTATTAATAACTCTAATCATAGCTACATTTCTGCTGCCTTCAGCAAATCCGCTTTGGCCCTAAGCGTACCATGCCTCGAAAGCCGCCTCCGAATTATGGGAGTTCTCCCTTCGTGGTAGATCTTTCTGACATCGCTACAGCTATAAGCATGGGTGTTTTGAGGGAGGACGCAAAAGTTGATACCTCAGACCGCTCCAGCCAAAAGTATGGGGGAGTATACGCGACGGGAACCAATATTGCAGACACTGAGTTTCCAACACAAAAAGCAGCAAGGGCAACATGTGACGATTTTGCAACGGTATGTGGATTTCAGTTGATTGTACAATCTTCGAGTGTGAAGCCAAAAAACTCAGGAAACGCGAAGTACGTCTGCAAAAAACTAAATGACATGAAGTTCTTTGATAAAGTTACCCCGGAAAATGATCTAAGCTGCCCATTTTTCATCAATGTACACGGAAAGAATGGGGTATGGAAGATTACTCAAGCCAACTTCGCCCACAACCATCTCAAAAACATTGGATCTACTCAGAAACCACTCGCGAAGGGAAATACCCCTCGTGAAAAAAAGGCGAGAAGGAACCGGTCTGTCCGTGAAGCTCAACTATCGGCTGTAGTAGCACGTGAAATTCTGCCAGCTCATGCCAACTCAAGATCAACTCTTTCAGGGGAAGCTGTGCAGAAGGTTTTTAAAGGGAAGGGCATCAATGTCAGCAAATCTTCGGTTTCTAGGATCAAGCAGGACCTGGACGAAAAATTGCATGGAGATTTACTCGAGAGCTACCAAAACTTGAAGTCGTATTTGGAGCTTCTGGCAAGTAAGAATCCCGGTTCCGTGTGGCGATATGAGAGCGAGAGCGATGGCGTGACCTTTAAGCGTGCTTGCATTGTCCCGAACGCAGGCGCCCACATTGTGAGCATGACTAAAAATTTGATTAGTTTTGATGGCGCTCATTTACAGGATGACATGAACAAGCGAGGGATTTTCCTTGTTGCCACTACAAAGGACTACAACAATCATATCATACCTTTTGGGTTTGCTCTGGTATCAACCAAAAATTACGACAACTGGGTTTGGTTTTTGATGGCAGTCAAAGATGCAATTAAAGTAGAGAGAATCACGATTTTGTCTGATCGTCATAAGGGTCTTCTGGTGTAGGATAATGCGTCCTAAGACACGTCCTAAACTGTCCTATTTGTCCTAAATTTTACAGGGAGATTTTGGAGATGTGTCCTAAAAAGCGACTAATCCTTCGTTACAGAATATTATAATTTGTGTCCTCCAGATTGTCCTAAACCTCAAATAATAACTTTTTCCGGACTATCTACGTAAATTTACGTAAGAGTTACTTAAAACTCACATTGGCTTTACTTATTGTCCTGGGGCGAAAACATCATGGACCATCGCGGCTACTCCTTCTGCAGCTAGGGCGCTCGTCTATCTGGCCTCTGCTGCCACCTGCGGAAGCAATGTCTTGTCCGCTCTGCTCACGAGCGCGAACGTTCAACAGTGCGGCACGAACCACTGAGATCTCGGACCAGGCCACCATTGACAAGATGTGCGCCTCGACTGCCTGCAACACCCTGCTCGCTGACGTGAAGGCCATGAACCTGGAGGAGTGCCAACTGCCGGTCGGTGTCAGCTCCAACCTGAAGGCCGACCTGGTAGTCTACGTGCCGTCCAACTGCTCATCGACGTCGGCTCCAAGCCCGGACTCGCCTGCCACAAACGCACCTGTTGTCGACACCCCGACGACGCCAGACAACTCGACGAACCAGGCCGAGCACACTGCCGCGCTAACCAAGACCCCCATCGCTTGCTAACCGCGTCTTCGGATCGACTTGCAGTCAAGTAGCCCTTGCGAGTACTTTGCTGCTTTTTGAGCCCCCCCCCTATATCGTTACGTTCTGATTATTAACCGTCGTTTGCTATGTGTATGTTGAAGTCGCTCAACCGTTATTAGCGGCTATTATGACCTTCAATGACTGTCATCCTTTGAAACGCTTTAAAAATATTGTCACACACTTTGAAGTAGAAAAGTTTCGTTGAGGTGCTTTTCGCGCACAACAAAGAGTCGGCTGCTCTTGGAGAGAGGGGCGTTAAGATGATTAGTGTTTCTAGCTAGGCCAGTTGAGGATGTTTTGAGGACAGTACATGTTGGGCTTGGTGTTGTCCTAATAGGACAGTGGTCTGAGTTGCAGTCTGTCCTAATAGGACAGCTGAGTGTCCAGTTGTCGAGTGTCCTATTAGGACACGCGGACCCTGGCTTGTTTCGTCCTAAAACTCATTGTGTTGTCCTAAATATCGGTTTTTTTATGAGCCGAATTGCTAGTTTTTTATCCCAGGTTTTAGGACAATAGGACACTTTAGGACTCCTAGTAGGACGCATTCTCTCCTACCTTGAGGACAGTACATGTTGGGCTTGGTGTTGTCCTAATAGTACAGTGGTCTGAGTTGCAGTCTGTCCTAATAGGACAGCTGAGTGTCCAGTTGTCGAGTGTCCTATTAGGACACGCGGACCCTGGCTTGTTTCGTCCTAAAACTCATTGTGTTGTCCTAAATATCGGTTTTTTTATGAGCCGAATTGCTAGTTTTTTATCCCAGGTTTTAGGACAGTAGGACACTTTAGGACTCCTAGTAGGACGCATTCTCTCCTACCGCTCCACCAGGAACCATGGCGAGTTTTGCCACCTGTAGCCCTTGCCAGCCAGTAAGCTCTCCCAGTGTTTGCTGGTAGGGGATTTGGCAGCTTGTTCGGGGAATGTGGAGGGTAGCGGACCCTCTGCGTTGTTAACCATGTCGTCGACCAGCTGCAACAGACACGTCACCGCTTCAGGACGAGAGGGGATCACAATAGCTGGGAAAGGCAGACGAGGTATAACTGAGGCAAATGCTACGTGCATGAAGGGTGTGAGAAAGAGGTCTGGACATAGTCGGCAAGCTCGTCCGGCGCTGGCCTGCCGGGGGTAAAAAGATGGAGACTGGCAGCTGATGTAAGTAGAAGAGGAAAGCTAGGACCGACAAGAAATAGAGCATGCAGACAGAGAATGTCGGGGACGAGGATATCACGAGAGATAGATAGAGAGTAAAAGTAGGAGAGCAAAGAAA